TAGAGCATCTCTAAGCACAGCCGAGGCAATGTGAATAAAAGCAAACTCAGATGCATGCCTACTGGTGTCCAACACATGATAACCCAGAGTGTTTTGAACGTAGTAAACCACAAGGACAAAATGCTCTTGCTTCTTGGGAGGGGGTTCAAGAATGGCAACTGCGATACCTTCATGCTTCTTGGGAGGTTCATCCATGATGATCAAATCTGCACGAGGGAGACAGTGAAGCCAAGCATCATTGATCGCCATCGTCGGCGGGACGAATGGAGTAGGATCCGGATTGATGTTGGCCATTGGGGTTTTTGGAGCACTATAGATTGGATTTGGGCGGAGAGCGAGAGGAAGAGAGGAAGAAGAAGCGTCAGGCTGCAACTGCCTATAATTAAGGCACGAAACGATGCCAACTAAAATATTATGCTCTTCCTCCAGCGACTTCCACGAAACAACCAAACTATCAGTTGCGGGCCTCCGACTAGAAGAAGCAATAACTGAACCAATGGGCTTTTTAGCCTTGGGCTTGCGAACCCAGACTTTCTTTTCAGACTTTTGGTTCCAGCACACTGAAGCCCGATGATCAAGTTTAGAGCAAGCTGCACAGCGGACTCTATTTATGGAGTTAGATTCCAAATGACCTGGCTTCTGACATCTAGGGCAACTAGGCCTACTAACAGAAGAGGCTTTAACAGACAGAGGCGATGATTCAGCCTTAGATTTTGAATTTGAAATCCTAGAAGACCTAGCTAAAATACCGCCCCCACATTAACTGGATTCTTATCCATCTTACCTCCGGTGATCGCCAGAAGAAAGAAGACAACCGATGGAACACCAATTTTACAGGCACTAGAGCATTGTTGGCACGAGGAACTGATTTGCGGCTGCTAGAGATAGTCTTGGAAACAATCTTAGACTTTTTCTTGTGACGAACAATTGTCCAATCAGCCTCTTGAGCTGCCGACCAGATATCATATTCCTTATGCCAGTTAGGGCCCCCATCTCTCTAGAGGAAAAACCGAGCAACATAATCCTTGCAAGTGAAGGATCTAAGATTATAGATCCAAAGGCCAACTTTCTTAGAACAAACTGTAAAACTGTAACACCTTCCAGAGAGATGAGAGACATGGAGATCACCAGAAGAACCACCAATGCAAGCCCTGAGGGCGAGAGCCGCCGAAGAGCAACAAAGCCAAAAAGAGGAGTGAGGAAAGTCTACCACCAGGGTGAACGGACGATTAGAGAAAAAGAGAGAAGTGAACAGGAGAGCGGAACCTGAGTAGGGTTTCATCCCTGATGTGATCCCCAGGGAGAAATCCCAGCCTCCCAAAGGAGCAGGAGTCACCATTGCCGACCCAAGAGAGGATCAAAACCCAGAGACACATTAGTAAAGTAATCACCACTCTCATTGCAAATAGTTTGGGAAGCGTGCGCATGGAAAACGAAACAAACTTTCTCACAATCTTCTGCTGCATTTTTTCCATTAAATTTAGACAAGACTGAACGCATAGTTTAGGGCTGTCATTTAGGATTGTTATAAGGTTGGTAGAAGAAACGTAACTCTAGAAGTTGGAGCCTTGGAGCTGAGAACACTCTATGGTTTTAAGGGCAAAACATCTTCTTTACAATTAATAATATTATAATTGAAATAGTAAACCATTTTATCTCGGCAAATAATCATTTTTTACAACAAGAAGTTGGAGCCTCCACAAAAATATACCTTTAATCGAATACGAACATTATGAAAGAACTGGAGCAACTTCATGCAAAATAAAAACATTACATTCTAGTAGCATAGTTTGGACCACCTGTATATCTCCACCGCAGTTACTATGTATTTTCTTCCTCTCAAACCTCGGTTACCTGCTCCTGACCTTCACCGGTATTGACCCCTGGGCACAAGCTCGACTGCTTGGGCTTCAGATCGATCAGAGAACGTGTCTACATGGAGTCTGAACATCTTCATACACGTGCTTACTTGTCTTAATTTGTGGTTATTTTGTTGAGTTTTGCTTGCAGCATCTATTTTTAGGGTTAATTGGATTCATGTCATTATAAATTTTACAGTTTTAAAAAATGCCACTACTATTCATCTATTTGGAATAACTACTCTTTGAAATATGTCACTGTCTACCCTTTTAATATAATAAAATTTCTTTTTGGACCAAATTTTCCATGTCATCTTCCTCAATCTCCTTCTCTCTCTACTCCTCTTCTTCCCATCCCTCTTCGGATTTGGAGCTACACCCGGTTGGCTTGATTCAGTGGTGGCCGGCGGCCTTAGAACTACCGGCGACCAGACTGAAAGCAGCAGCTGCAACTAGCATCCTCCTCCCCTCCTCCGGCTGCAGCGAAGCACCGCGCAGGCGAGGCGAGGAGCGTGACGACCTCGGCTGCTCCAAGATCACCTTCCGCCGATATGTTCTTGTCTTCTTAAAGCTCGTTTTACATTGATTGTGCATAGGACTATCAGCAACAGATATGTGTTCTTTCATCCGTGCATTGTTTTCTCTTTTTTACTTCTTTATCTTTTTTTTCTCAAAATTGATTTGGGCGTGGCGTTTCGCGGCTCACACGATAACACGACACTGCGGCAGTACGATCTCACAGCGCCGGCAACATCACTTTGACTCCTTCGGGGCTGCTCGCCGGGCCTCTCCACCACGCTTACACCGGGAACTCAGATCCAGAAAGAGAATGGGAGGAGGGGATGGAGGAAAAAAGACTCAGGTAATTTGGTCCAAAAATAAATTTCAGTGTGTTGGAGGGGTATGTGGTGGCATTTCTTAAATATCTACTAAATGGCACGACTTCAAATAGTTAAATAGTAATGGCATATTTCAAAACTATAAAGGTTATAATGGCATGAATCTAATTAACCCATATCTTTATGGTAAAATGTATTCAGTGCACACACACTATTTGACCTTATCCAAACATCTTTCGTAAGCCGTCCGATCAGTTGTAATGGCTAAGATATGAACACGTGGATGTTGTACTGATCAAGTGATAGAGAAATGAGATCACTTGCCAGAAAAAGAGGACCACATGGTATCTGCTGGTTGTTACATAGATTCACGTGCATGCTACTGAGTCTAACATATAGTTACACTAATATATATTCTTTTTTAATAGAATCTTTGATGATGTATATCTCTTAAACTGTATATTTTTTTTAAATCCGTTTGAACCATCATACTCTACTCAAAATATATGACAAAACAAGTCTAATATTGAATATATTTAAATTATTTAACCTTTCTTCTTAACTATGTCAGAGGATGAACTCCTCTAGCGGGGGACCGTGAGACCCCCCCTCTCTTTGTGAGTTCGGCCGGGGGCAGCGGTTGAGATTCGAGGATCCCTGTGATGGATGAGAGAAAGAGAGGGGTCAGGCCCCTCGAAGACATAGAGACAAAAAAGGTTTATGCAAGTTCGGGCTGCTGAGAAGCGTAATACCCTACTCCTGTGCTTGGCTGAATCTGTGAAGATTGTAGATGCTTGAGATAGTGAATCTGAAGTGTGTGTTAGAAAATGGGCTCATCCTCTCCCTTAGTAGGCATGGACCTCCTTTTATACCTCAAGGGGTTACCACATGGGCCCAAGAACCTGTCTATGGGTGAAGGAGTACAATCTTTGCATTGAATGCATGTCTTGTTCCTTGACTTGGAAGTCACGTGCACGTCATCTCGGTCGTGGGACCGGTCAAATCGAACCGGCTGACATAGGGGACGCCCGTTTCATTCATCATTTAATGGGTGAAGACTTCTGGGTTCCTGTTTGCACCGGGAAATGGGAACCCTGCTTGACTAGAGCGGATGAACCAACTCCGGCTGGGAAAGCCTCTCATCATCATGACGTGACGGGGCATGGCAGGCTGCACACCGCCTGACACATGGTCAATGCGTAGGCGCACTACCCCAGTCCCATCAGTCATTCGACCGTTCATAGACTGGTTAGGCGCGCAGCACGCCGCATTAAATGCGGCGTGACACGCCCGTTCGGTCTGATTTAAATGCGGTTAGGTGGGCGGTGGGCGCGCCCACCCAACTCGCAGGAGTAGGCTGATGCGCCGAGGGGGTCGGGACGGCCCGACCCCCAAGCGAGGAGGGGTCGGCCGCCACTCCACCCTAGGCTCGACCCTACTCGGGGAAGTGCAACGTGGGTCTAAGGGCAGCCTCCTCCCTCCAATCTCGGTACCCCAAGCTGGAGAGGGGCAGCCGCCGCTCCACCCCAGGCCCGATCTCCCTGGAGGGGGGGCATGTGGGTTCGGGGGTAGCCTCCTCCCTGTAAAGATGATATCCCCAGGTCCATATCACCGATAAACTTCACTAGCAGTGTAGCTATTTTCAATAACGTGAAGAGTTACTTTTGTATAACAGTTACTTTCCTTATAGCAGTGTAGTTGCCGTGAAAACTTAATTCTATCTAGTAGTAGAGTTAGTTATTTATATATTATCTTTTTATAGTCACTTCCCTTTAGGAGTGTATTTATTATGAAGAGTTACTTATAAAAATTACTTTTCTCTAATAATGAAGTTATTTCTAATATCGTGAAGAGTTAATTTCTATATGATGCAAAATTTTTGTTTTCAAAAATAATATAGTGATTACTTTGAAAATATAATACATGTATTTACTTGAAAATCTTGTGTAAACTTTACTTGAAAATTTACTCCACATATTTTTTATTTGAATTCGGTCCTAATGTAATTACTTCTAATAGTACAAAGAGTTAATTCTAAGTTACTTTTAAATTTAATATATTTTCCTGTAATCTATTTTCTTTTTCTTTCTTTCTTTCTTTTTCTTTGTATATGTCGATCCCTTATTTAATATATTATCGCAGTAGGAGCCTCTCCTGCGGTTTCCCGTCAAAAAAATAACTTTTAAATTTAAGTAAATTACTTTTAAATTAATAAAATATCTGAATATACGAATTGTATTACGAACACCGTACCTAAAATAATTCCACCGTTAGAAATAGTAAAAAGGGCAAACGAAAAGAGGGTTGCCTTGTGTTGAAGACGAGTATGGGCAAGAAGAGTCAAACAGAAGACGGGAGAGAGAAAGAAAGAAAGAGCAGAGTGTCGAGAGGTTGAAGACGAAGCAGCCTTGGAACAGAGCGAAGGAAGAAGCGAGGAGAGGCGAGGCGATGGGGATCCGGTTCGTGCTGTTCGTGAACAAGCAGGGGCAGACGCGGCTGGCCCAGTACTACGAGCACCTCTCCATCGACGAGCGCCGCGCCCTCGAGGGCGAGATCGTCCGCAAGTGCCTCGCCCGCACCGACCAGCAGGTTTTGGTTAACCCCCCAATTCCCGATCCCCCCTCCGATTCCTCCTCGTTTTCTTGGATCCAATATTGCCCAGCGCGGAAACTTGGGCTCCGGATTGGTGGGTGGGGGAGCGGGGAAAGGAAGCCTCCTGTTCTTGGATCTGGATCTGTGCAGGTTCTTGGGTGTTCGTTCTCTTCCTCGTGATGATGTGATTTGTATGATCCGTGCGATTGCAGTGTTCGTTCGTGGAGCACCGGAACTACAAGGTGGTGTACCGGCGGTACGCTTCCCTCTTCTTCCTCGTCGGCGTCGACAACGACGAGGTATTGATTCCTCCGCCTTCCAATTTTCATTAGACAAAAGGCACCCTGCCTCCCTTTGTTGAACAATTCGGATGATTTACCAAATTTTGCCATTAAATTCCATTTTATGGCACCGAAATGCTCCTGCAGTTGCAGTTAGCTCATAGTTTCTGAACATGTCCTTGCTACTAAAAATGATATTACTACTTAGTAGTTGAGGGTTTGGGGTTGTTATCAGTTCTGAAGATATACGGTTTAATGGTTTCTATTAGGAACTAGAAATTTCACATGAGAAGTTTAATTTACTCAATAATCATGAAGTATCCCGCATCGCAACAGAGGCTTACATCTTGTTCATCTGTTTTCTTCTTTCGATGAATATATGCACAAGTCGGATTTGCTAATTGATAGTAATGTGAAAATGCATTATCATTGTCTTTGATGGAACTATAAGATATACGCTATTACTATTTATTTATCATTAGATAGAACTCTTTAGTAAGAAAATTTGTTATATTGGTGATTCTGTGTGGTAACACTATTTCATACTTACATCTCTGCATACGAATCTCAGTATCTCCATCTTATGCCTGTTGACTGCAGTTCATTGTTTGCTGCCTGGTTTCTCAATGAATTTTGTAGCAATTGCCGAAGTCAAATCTTCCTTCAACTTGTTTTGGTTGCAATTTGCATTGTAGTTTTCCTCTGGGATGTCAATCATAACTACAGCCTGCACCATGTTTTCCTTGATTCATATTAAAATGCCTCAATTTTCTTTTGTTTGGCAGAATGAGCTAGCTATTCTCGAATTCATTCATCTTTTTGTGGAAACTATGGACCGCCACTTCGGAAATGTGGTATTTTTCAGTAATCCCAACAATTATTTTTCTTGTGACTGTAAATACGCTCACATATATCACATGGGACAAGCTGATGGTAATTATCCTTTTGGCCAGTGTGAACTCGACATCATGTTCCATCTAGAGAAGGTGCACTTCATGCTGGAAGAGATGGTGATGAATGGCTGCATAGTAGAGACAAGTAAACAGAACATCTTAGCACCAATCCAGCTTATGGAGAAAACTTCTTAGAATAGCATTCTCTAACTATCTAGTTTTTAATCCTTTTGTCTCTGTGGTGCTTTATCTTTCATCTACTGGGGAGTATAAAAAATTTCTGTTTGCACATATTATTGATATGAGCTGACTGGAGATGATTATATGCTGAATACAAAGATGCGATGTACTTTTCTTCATGTTATTTCATTTTGATTTTTTACACATGATTTGTGAAGATTACAAAGCCACTGATTGTGAGATCATAATAAGTGCTACGGCTTAAATTGTCAGAGGGTGCAATTGATGTGAATCATGTTAACTCGAATTGATGTGTGCTCCAATTTGATCACCATTTTTTTACTCTAACTACTATACTTCATACGGAGTACTATAATGCTGTAGAACTGTTAAATTAGAGGGAGCATCTTGTCTAGGTAATTGAAGGGAAAAGGAACGTTTGGACTGTTGTAAGCAGGCATGATCCTATCTCTGACCATATAGATATCGTGATATCTAACTTTAGATGAGGTAGTGGGGCAAACAGAGGAAATGTGTAGATTGGGTCAACACTATCGACCATGATATAATTCCCAAATCTCACGAGGCTGCAATGTCATTTTCATCTTCCTGATCTTGATTGATGAACTACATTTATCCTAGCACGATCGGTTGTTGCCTGTTGTTTTCATCTATATTTCCATGTTCTTCCGCTGAATGTTACCTTCTTTCCACTGGTCAAGTACTTTTGACGACTTGTGCAGGCTCTATACGTGTTTAATCTTTTCATAATTCCACTCATTCCCAGTTAAGTTTGGGTATCACTCATTCCCAGTTAAGTTTGGGTAGCCTCAACCCTTTTTACAAAAGGGCCTTTCATCTATCTACGCTTGAGTCACAGGCTTTGCAATATATAAAGACAAAGCGAGGACACTTTAAAGGAAGTGAGTGATTGGTAGCGAAAATATAGTCACAGGCTTTGCAATATATAAAGACATGGCGAGGACACTTTAAAAGAAGTGAGTGATTGGTAGAGAAAATATATTCCGTATCCTTGGCAACTAAGTTGTAAATGGCTTATTAGATTGTTATCTTCAATAACTTTTTTTTTAGAATTAAACAGTACAACGCAGACACTTACAATAGCCAGCAAATCCTTATCCTCGAGATTGACAAAGTCTACACTTGAGTCATAGGCTTTGCAATATGTAAAGACACGGCGATGACACTTTAAAGGAAGTGAGTGATTGATAGCAAAAATATATTCCGTATCCTCGGCAACTAAGTTGTAAATGGCTTATTAGATTGTTATCATTAATGACTTTTTTTTAAGAATTACACCGTACCGAGGACACTTTAAAGGAAGTGAGTGATTGATAGCGAAAATATATTCTATATCCTCGGCAACTAAGTTGTAAATGGCTTACTAGATTGTTATATTTAACTAGAAAGGAAGCCCGCGCAGATGCGCGGGCATTTTATTTGTTGTTTTATGAAAATAATGATTAAAAAAAGTCACATTTCACTGTTTCTACCATATATATATTAATATATTTAAATGATAAGGATGTCTTCTAAATTAAAAAAAACACTTTGTTCCGGTTTCATATAAACTTCCCTATTGTCACTACAATTTATTATCACTTTCTAAAGTTGAGTACCTATTAATAAATGAAACTGCATATGTACGAATAAAATAAGTCTAATATATTATTAATACACTAAAAATATCCACTATACCTAAGTGTTTTTGTCTCACTTATTTCCAATTCCATATAAAAACATTCTAAAAATACCACTTGTACCAATTAATAGGATACATCTTAAAATTAAACATAAATGCCCCTATAAAGTGTGAAGCTCATTGTAGCCAGCAAGACTTTATTTCTTTGTGCCTTGAAACATGGGTCCTGCATTGATGTAGCTGTGCCCATCTAGACCAGTCTGGAGTATAATTTTAATGTCTAATTCACTATCATACCCTCATATAGTATTGCATCACTAAGTAGTAAGTTGGGCACTATTGGCGACGGTGGCCTCCACTAGGGCCGTCTCAATTCAGCTATATGTATGCCCGTACTAATTACGATATCGTAGCAAACTCTGTTATCGATGCTTGGTGCCCTTCAAGGAAGGACAAAGATGAAATGGAGATGATCAAAATATTTTTTTTTATTTTTTTATGCTATAGATAGAGTACTCACTTTTGAAAATAAGCGATTTTAATCATTCGATAGAATAAAAAAATTATAACTAAAGAGACATACCACCAGGATAATCTTCGTAGCACTATATTATTTTTATATTTTGACAAATATCTATAGCGTAGCAATTGGTTTATTTTCAACACCTATTTTTGATAATCATATGAGACACCTTTAAGAATTTCTTTTTCAAACTTGTATAATAACTAATTCGTAGGAGCATACTTTAGTCATGTCGGTGGGGTGTATGATATAAATCTATTAATTATGTTTGATATGTTGGAATTCCTCAATTATAAGAAAAATATATCATGAGTAGTTTATTTTACATATTATTTTATTGTTATCAAACTATTTGACCAGATAAACAAAATATACATATATAACCATATATCTCATGATAGATTAAAGGATTGTGTTATAGCAGGATCATTGGTTGAAATATTTTTTATAATATTTTTCACATCCATGTACCATCTGTGCTGCTCACTTCTCTAATAACAATTAAGTAGTTCTGGAAAATTTCAAAAAAACACTTTGAGATTAAAAAAATTAAAATTAAATCATATCTACTTAAAAAACTTTTCAAGTGATATTTGACACCCTAAAATATGATGCAAAATCATTTAAAAAATTATCATAACATTAATTACTATTTATCGGCTCTATGTGTCGTGATGTATTTAGTAGGACTATAATATAACTTTTATAATATGTCAATAGTTGATTTAGATAAAAGGAATACAACAAGATCCAATTAAATATATAATTTTAATTTTTTTTTGCGACGGCATATTTTTTTATGGTGCTTACGTTTTTTTTTTCTTTTGGCGAACCGTACATACGCAAGCTTTTCTGTTTTCCACAAAGTAGTACCTACTTTACGTACTTTTGCTTTTTTTTTTTCAGCCAACTGTTACATCTAAATTTCCTCTCGTGTATGTATATATCGGAGGAAGGTATTACACTTACATATCTAATCTAAAACAACGGTCTGGAAATCAACGTGTATGGATTTTCCTTTTCCATAGTACGAACAGTAAATACTTTTGCCTTTTTTTTCGGCCAACTGTTGGCATCTATATATTCTCATATATATGTAATCTAAAATAATGGTCTAGCAACTAAATTATAAGTGAAAATTAACTGTGTAGATCTAATCTAACGATCTAAAATAACGGGTCCACCAATATAAGTGAAAATCGATGTTAAGATTAGATAGTGCCACGTGGCGGTTTAGAAGCGTTTATATGAGTGCCACATGACGATTTAGAAGCGTTTGTAGGAAGTTTCATGGACTTTTAGTATAAAATAGATAGAAGATAGATAGATAGATAGATAGATAGATAGATAGATAGATAGATAGATAGATAGATAGATGACTTTTTTTAGAATTAAACAGTACAATACAAACACTTACAATAGCCGCTATCCTTCAGATTGACAAAGTCATCACAGGCGTCTTGCCCAGAACCTCAAGTGATACTTAGACTCTTGTAACCACTAGGCTACAGGCCCTTTCGCATCTTTAATGACTTTGTGACAATTTGAGAAGCACTGATGGTTTAGTCATTTTGTTTGTGAAGGTTGTTTTCCTTTGTCACCTAAAAACCTCTGAAATGTTGTATTTTTTATGCAAGAAATATTATCTTTTTATCTTGCAAAACAATGTTGATAATATTTTTTTTTGGAAAGGACAAAAAATTTCACGTGCACATAATTAAGAAATAATGGTAAAAATGTGCTCACCAAGCATGCACGTCATCACGGTTTTTGTCCCAAAAAATAAAAAGAAAAGAAGAAAAAAAATCATCCAATTCTGTGGCATGAAAAAGAAAAGAAGAAAAAATCGATCCAATCTCTCCCGTCGCACATATGAAAAGAAGCAACTCAGCAAGTTGTGACTAGATCAGAGAATGGGAGGGAAGGAGAGGATGAAAATGGAGCGGATTTAGACGGATAATAGCTCTATCATATCCTAAACTATTTCTTAAGTGGATACGGAGCGGGTACGGATGACGTGCGGATGTGGAGTGGATTATTTCGGACGTTGGATTCGGTGCGGAATCGGTGCGGACTCAATTCGAAAAAGGATAAAAAGTTATCGGATGTCAAGTTTGTATTCAGTCCATATAATAAGAGGGCAGCATTACAATTAGCCGCAATACGATAGCAAAACAACATCTGAACATGATCTCAGCTCTTTAGGAAAAACCAACCAAAACCCATCAATAATATAATTTTGCTTAATATAACACATCCAATAAATTATCAATAATATAAGTGTTCAGTTCAGTAGTTCAATGGTCACTGCGTTGCTTAAAATTTAAAAATATAAGTCATCACTGCCACACAGGCATACAGCACACACTGCACACAGGCATATAGGCACACTGCCACACAGGACACATTACAATAGTTCGGTAGTTCCATAGGCATACAGGAGCGGCCGACGCGTGTTGGGGAGAGCAAAAGACTGAGGAGGAGCGGCCGCCATGCTGGGTCACCGTCGCGCCGCCACTCTCAGACTCCTCGACCTCGTGACGGCTGAGGGCTGACGGCAGAGAGAGAGAGGGATCTGGGGGAGGAGTGAATTAGGTTAGGGTTATAATAGATGGGCTAGATGGGTCTGAAAGTTGTTGTGTGGCCTGAAAGTTGTGAATTATCCGCCAAACAGTACATCGGATAATCCGATTAAAATATCGGATAATCCGCATCCATCGGATATCATTGATACCATATCCGCATGACAAAATCCGCATCCGTATCCGGCCGGATACTAAAAACCCTTACCATATCCTTACATCGGACGGATTCGGAGCGGATCGGATAATATCCGCTCCGTTTATACCCCTAATATTTAGTGGCAATCGCAATTAGAGTTGAGATTCGTAATCTCTGCTACTTAAAAATTCCGTAGTGGTAGCGGTGACTCCAATCCTGATAGACACGCGTAATACTAAACGTAGGATCGTGAAATCCAATGGCTCAGATCGCTTCCGCAATGCTCTGATCCTGCCGAGTGCAGACGCGCACGCGTTCCCCTCTCTCCCGAGCGGTGCCTTTGATCCTTCTTCCTCCTCGATACCCTCCGTATCAACAGCGGTCACCGATCCATCGTCCAGACGCCGCCGCCTTCATCCTCCTTCCTCCCCATCCCCCATCCCCCAGCGCCCGCATTCCACCTCCCCCTGCGGACGGCTTCTCCACCGCGCCGGCGCCGGATCGGCGAGGCGGGAGCACGTGGCCGCGGGAAGAGCAGCAACCGGTCACCCCGCCGCCGCAGAACGAGGTCGCCTGGACGGCCGCCGCCGAGGCCTCCCGCTCCTCCATCATGTTCGGGTCAGCGGGCAGGCCGTGCTACATGTTCTATGCTTCACCGGCAATGGCGGCCAAGCAGGTACTCATCCATTGCTTCCCCCTTCCTCTTCTTTAACTGAATGAAAAATCCTTGCGTTTTTGGCGGTTGAGTAAGGTCGTGTGCATCGGTGAGTGCATCAAACCGCTGAATTCCATGTGTGATGAAAGGGGGAGGGATGTGAGCAGATTGGATTGTGATGATTTTTTAACAGCGTGCGTATAGATGAATTGGGGAGGGATGTGAGCTGATTGGATTGTGATGATTTTTCACCATGCATATCTGGGCATTGTGATGATTTTTCAACAGCGTACCTAGAGATTAGCTGTCAGGCTCTCAGGCAAAGCATAGTAATAACTTCATCTGCGTCTTCAGGATCATTGGCATGCATAACAACTGTGATTATGCATGATCTCAAAAAGGGGCAGTAAATTATTAATGATGAACTACTGCGGGACTATTCTCTCTTTTTTTCCCTGTTTTCCTTGAGTGATTGATATGAGAAGATATTATTTTTTCTGTTTTTTGCATATGCTGGAATTTAGAATAAAAACAATTGCTCTCGTTCATCACAAATCTTTATCTATTAAGATATCATGCTTCAGAATTTATCATGGTTTGGTTGTTAGAGGGGTTTCAGACTATTAATCCGTTAGCCATTCTAACGGGATAGAAGCACTACAATGTTGTGTAGTTGCCTGGAGAACATGACCTAAAATTGATAAAATGATGAGAAAATGAAGGGCATTTCCTTTATCCAGACCATCATCCCTTTATCTGAATAACTCTGGTTTTTTTAATTTTTTGAATCCATTCTTGACATTTGGTATGGTTTGTGGAGTTGTTCAGATAACAGGTCAAATCTGGACTCTGCTCTTCTTCTTTTTTTAAAAAAATGTAATAAGTTTGAAGTTCTGATGTTATATCCCCAATCCATGCATGTTGTGTTGCTTGCATCACTAGGCATCCTAGCATCATGGATTGAGTAACTACAATTTTGGTTGCGGCAAGTATTTCTGAAATAACCTATTACCCTGAATAGGATTTATCTGTACAATTTAATTAGGTAGCAAAGATACAGAATGCAGTCTACTACTACTAACTTGAAGGCCTGCACTTCTTAACCTGTACATTCTTGGATCTGCAAATCTTGCACTAATTTGCCTAAGGACACTCAAACAACATTATAATTTGTTGCACAACACCATGGACATTAAAACTGAATACTATTATAAGAATGGTATCTTGAATATTTTGTAGTATTGAAAACCACATTCTGAACATTAGTTCAAGTTCAGAAATCCGCATTCTTGCAATGTATCTTACCTATTTCAGTACATGCACCATGTTTTTTTTTTCATTTTCTGCAGTACAGTCTACTCATCTACTTTGCTGGTAGCTTTTGCATGTCATTATCCCCACATCATGATGTACGATTTTCAGTTTTAGGTGCCAGTTTTGGTGTGAAGAACTAAATTGAAACCGAACAATGATTTTCTAGAGTTGCGGTTAACTTCTAATCAAGTTAGTTCTGCAATGGATAACAATGGTGGCGGTTCAGCACCAACATCGTCCAAAAGATCATGTAATTGTTTCATCCATCCAGCCATGGTCATATCCATTACTCAATTGATATATTTTTGCTTCCTAATTTTACATACACTCTTCCTTTAGGTCCTTTTGTGAATATAACTAATGTGATTAATGCCAAGTTGACAAACAAGCGTGCCGCGCGGTTATCCCAAGTGAAATCAATGTTCCAAAAGACCGTGAGAACTGTCAACAGATCAACAAGAACTCTACATATAAGATTCAGAGAACCTCAACTATTGGATTTGGTATCATACTTATATTGGCTTTATTTTTTTAATATATGAGATATTTGTTTTAGGCTAACATCAGCATTCTGATTTTGCGGTGCAGGCTATGAAAATAACGCTTCTGTCATTAGGCATGTGCGGCTACCATGCACAGACAAAGCTGAACTGTCGTACGGTACACCCAACATGCATGAAGATGTTACTAATCCCAGTACGGCTGAACTAAAAAGGAAGTGTGCTAGAGAGAGGTACCCATTATTGACAAAAGAGCTAAAGGAAGATAGAAACAAGAAGAGACGTGATTCCAGAAAGCGGAGGAAGGATGAATCAATTGGTTTTTATAAATTAACACATCTATTGTTATCAAAATTTGGACTTTTTGAACACAACACCTTATTATTATTGAATTAATTCAACTCTTTCATATCATGGATCTCAAGATTCCACGACCAAAATGGCTACTCCTACATCCTCATCTGTTTCAGGTTGATGTGTAATATTTCACATGTAGAAATTTGTTAGGTGTTTTGTACCAAATACGTTCTAATCTATTTGGATATGAGCAGCCCCGCTTGGAGATATTACAAATGTACGTGTTGACTGCTTGCTTCTGGTAGTTTAACAAATTTTCACTCAATTTCTTTAAACTTAATAAAATTTCCCGTTGCAACGCACGGGCATCTTACTTGTATTTATTTAATCTGAATTTCGTGGTAGTACTTGGGTAGTACTGGGCTCATACTGTCCTTAGTAATGCTTCAGTCCTTGTGCTTGAAATTTGAGCTGTTATAGCTCTATTGCAATTGACCTGCGGTGATATGTATTGTCCTCACTGAATCATATTTTCTTGCGTCTACCTGAGTTTGAAGTAAGATAAATTTTGCAACAGGACACTTCGACTTCGTGGCTTTAGTCGTGGGGCACTGCCCGAACTCACTTTTGAGGAAAAACACTACATAAACATAAGGTGATTTGCCAATAGACACCGTGTTGATTAAAATAATAATTTTCGGTTGAAGAGGATTTGCCAATAGACACCGTGTTGATTAAAATAATAATTTTCGGTTGAAGAGGAGTGAGAAATCGTATGAAATATCAAAAATATACCCTTGGGCCCACATGTCAGTTTTCCTCTCTCTCTTCTAATCTCTCTCTATCTTCTCTCCCATAGGGGGAGTCGATCGCCGGGACGGAGGACGCGCGGCGAGGTTATATTACTGGCGGCGTCATGGTAGGCACGGCAGCACATGGTCCCGTCGTCGAAGACAGTGACGGTGAACACGGTGGCGCCGTCCTAGCGGAAGACGAGGAGGTCCCCGTCGCGCAGGTCGTGGGCGCGGGCGAACCGCAGCCAGCCACGGCCCAGGTACACGCCGCCGTCCCCGTCGCCGTCGCCACGTCGGCGACCACCTTCACGTCCCACATGCGGCCGCGCCGCTGCCCCGCGCCAGCGACCCGCAGCTTCGTGTCCCGGAGCTCCCGCTCCTCCGCTTCGCCACGTCTTTGCCGTCCTAGCAGAAGACGAGGAGGTCCCCGTCGCGCAGGTCGTGGGCGCGGGCGAACCGCAGCCAGCCACGACCCAGGTACACGCCGCCGTCCCCATCGCCGTCGCCACGTCGGCGACCACCTTCACGTCCCACATGCGGCCGCGCCGCCACCCCACGCCGGCGACCCACAGCTTCGCGTCCCGGTGCTCCCGCTCCTCCGCTTCGCCATGTCCTTGCCGTCCTCCGCTGCTCCCGCCGCAAGCCCGCGGCGGCCGCTCCTACCGTCCTCGCCGTCCTCCGCCCCGGCGACCGATGCCCCCTCTGGGAGAGAAGATAGAGAGAAGAGAGATAGGAGAGCTGACGTGTTGGCCCAAAGGCATTTTTGGTATTTCACGTGATTTCTCTCTCCTCTTCAACCAGAAATTATTATTCTAATAGGTGCGGTGTCCATTGACAAATTACCATATTTATGGAGTGTTTTCCTCTAAAAATGAGTTCAGGCGGTATCCCACGGCTAACTCCACGAAGTCGAAGCGTCCTGTAGCAAAATTTACCTCGAAGTACACACTTATTATCACTAAAAATGCACCTGGCTACCTTGCAGATCATGCACTTTTCTGGTCAGTCTTTTCTAAGGTTGTTCGGTACAAACATATATATTTAGTGAATTTATTTTGTTGCCACAGTTTATAGGGATAATTGAAACTATTGTTTAGATGCTGTGTTGGGTACTCCAAGTTCTCAACACTCACCTCTCCTTTTCCACGCGCACGCTTTTTAAACTGCTAAACAGTGTGATTTTTGCAAAAAAAATTTATATACAAAAATTGCTTTAAAAAATCATATTATCATTTTCTTTAAAAAAATAGCTAATAATTAATTAATCACGCGCTAATTGATCACTTCGTTTTTCGTGCGCACTGTTTGAAGTTAGGAACTGCATCTGAACACAGCCTAAACAATTCTTTCACCATCTGATCGATGTCATCTCGATCCGAGCATCACCCCACAGCAACAGCCACTTTCATTTTTTTAAAGTTCTATTAAAACACTATATAAATAATATTATTTATCTCTTCTTCACCGGTAGTAATATACCGGTAATAGATATTATCACCAGATTTTAATTCTTCGCCACTCTCACAGAGCTTGCTACCGGATAGGAAAAGAGCATTTAATGCTTCTTACCGGCAGCTAAAAAGTAACATTGTTGATGCCCTTACTGATCGATGCCAATCTCGATCCTACACAGTTTCCGAACATCGCGGCTGGATACGTATACAAAAGAAGTAACGTAAACAAGTATCTCTCTGTTTCTTTTTGTTTGATGCCGGTTAGTTCAAAATTACACTAATCAATACTATTTATTTGAAAACAGAGGTAGTAATAAACATGGTGAATATTTGTTTCTCATTGTTTATTTGTTTCTCATTATTCCATATCGATCGAGCTTACACACATATTTAATGGACTAACCATATTGTTGATCCTAATCGGTGCCTCCATTATTTATTCCCGCGTGCATGCATTTGCCGTCGTTGACACATCACGGCTTGGCCGATGTTGCGGCCGACGATGATCGTTTGCAGATACGTAAAACTCGGCAGATCTTTGTTACGCTCGACGGCGGGACGCTAGGCTTTTCCTCCGTGACATCTGCGTGGCCTGTCGATTGCTCCATCACGCATGCGAATGGAAACAGTTAATTAATGTACGTAGGAGTATGTGTTACTTCAAAAAAAAATCCAATATATATAAAAAAATATATACTAAACCAGAAAACGTTCAAAGTAATTCCTCCTCGATAAATTTAAATCTGAGGCAATTATTATATTTTAAATAGAGAAAGTATGTAGACATAGCTAGCTATACTTAATTAAGGCTTTGTTTCGCAATGAAGGTCTTGGGCACATGCAAAAATGGAGGGACTCGTAACCATATGATTAATTAAGTATTAGCTTATCAAAATTAGAAGAAAAAATTAATATTTTTTAAAAATAGTTTTTTTATATACATAACTTTTTAAAAAAATTATCGTTTAATAGTTCGAGAAACATGCAAGTAGAAATAAGAGAGTAGAGGTTAAAAAGGGGAGGGCCAAACACACGCTAGAAGAAAGAACCGCAACTCCAAATGTTCAAAGAGATGTAGTGGTTAGTTTCTCCACATGATATTTCACAAAACATATACAGATGGAACTGGTAATTAACACTGATGTTATTCTTACCGGCGGCAGTGTTCGTGGGCATCGGAACCAACTGGCGGGCGAATGCCGAAGGCAGCAGAGCTTGCTGCTGGCTACTCAGGACCAGCAGGATTGCAAGGCTAAACAGCAAGTACTTGGCAGAAGGAGAACCCATATTTGCTTGTGTAGTCAATTAGTGCGCGCGCAGTAGCTACGAGTATAACTAATTTGCAATTGCAAGATAGCAAGAGATATGCTGAATGTTTTGATGCAGTTGCAGTCGATCATCGAGCCAATTATAGTCAGGCAGGCCTACGCCTCTTTGTATTACTCAGGCGGCGTTTTTAGTGATAAGGATGAAGTCAAGTCGTCGTCGACTGGGTGTGTGCTTCCGAGAAGCAACGTCGGTAAAGCAGGAAGTACAAGCCAGCAGGCTAAAAAACAATTTCTGCTATATCATCACGTTCCTAGAGAGAATCTATAATTGAGGAGAGAGAGAGCACAACAGATATATATCCTTTCGATTAAAAAAATTGTAGGAATATGAGTCCAGATAATTATTTGTTTGTCCAAATTGATCTTTGCAAATTAGTTTTTTTTTAAACGGAGGATGAGATATTTGTTTCTAGTTTTTTGAATTGTTGGTAGTAGGGTGGACACACTTTTTATTACTGTCAGTCAATTTTTAGATTTTTTTTCTGAAAAATAAAGAGGAATCTATTCCCAACCCAAAATCCGATTAGCAATCTTGAGGTTGTAATTTTGATGATGGATTATGTTGAACGGTCCCACATTTGTTGTTGAAGGATAAAAAAACAATGTATAAGAGAGAAAGCCCTTACCTTATTGGTTAGCTTTTAAGGTAGAAAAGATATTTTAAGATTTTACAATTGGCATTAGGTCTTATCTAGTTTAACATCTTTGTCCTAAGGGACATAGTGAAGTTCTAATAGACCATAGGTGCTGCGGTACCAATATACCTTAGATACTTGTCATAAGTGACATCCGTTGGAATAACGCTATTAGCCCTTTAGAAGAAGATGCTTTGGAAGTGCTTTTTATTTTCAACGAGAAAGGTAGCCCGCGCATTCGCGTGGGCATGTATTATAGTTTGTGTTTCAAACTCTATAACGACGGAATATAAGTTGTAGAACATTTCCGGAATATAAATCAGAAAAGAATTTTGCATAGATGCACAGGCATCTTATTTGTTATTAAAAAAAGAATGCTAAAAGGAATCATACATCACTATATATATAATCACTATATATATAGTGTAAGAGAATTTAGATCATCCTACAATAAAAAAAGGAATATATTTACCATAAAATAGATGGTAGATTTTAATATACTACTAATGTGATAAGAATGTCTCTTAGATTTAAATAAAAATCCCTTTATCCTGGTCATATATAAACTGGTTGTTTGTCATCACTACTTACTATAATTGTTTTAAGAGTTAGATGACTTTTAATAAATGAATCTGTATTAGCACCACTTAAACAAATGATACATTATTAATACACTAAAAAATTCATCTACACAACATAACCCGGTGTTCATCACTTTTTTCAATCATATGTACAATTAGTATAAATATATCATATCTACCGAATAATATGATAACACCATTAAAAATAAACATGAATGCCTCTCTAATGGATGAAGTATGTAATGGCTTAAAACATATAGGTCCCGCATTTCGATGTAGCCATGCCCCTAAAAACCATCATACAATACAATTTCAACACTTAGTACACTATTGGTACACTTACAAATGATTATATTGGTAACTATGTCACTTTAGTTACATTGCCTATGATGGTCTTTCACAGACACCACCTTAACTCAACCATGTAGATGCCCATACAATATATATGACAGCGTAGCAAGTACTGCACCCTGCATTAAATGTCAAAGAGGGATAGAAAGAAGGAGGAGGTGATGAAAACAATTTTTTTCAAAAAAATTTGAGTCGATTTTTGGTAGAGAATAGACAAAATGTGTATATGAAGTTAGTAATAAGTACTTATCAAATTTTAATGGAATACATACAATATCATATTTTTCAAATGAGTGGGGTTAATCATTCGACACTACTTAAAAAAATATAGCTAAAGAGATGTACTACCACGAAAATCTGTAAAACACCGTATCATTATTTATATTTTGATAAAGATTTATACTTTAGCGCCAAATTTGTTTCCACCATATGTTATTTATAATTATATGAGACTCATTTAATAATTCTAAGAATGTACTTATTTTCACAAACTTATTTACACTAACCAATTCGCTAGAGTGCATTTATAGTTGGGTTCTGTGGTGTATAACATTCGTCAATTATATACCCAGTATATTAGAATTTCTATCAACTACAAAAAATATAATATAAGTAGTTTTATGCGTATTTTATTGGATTATTCATGTTTTGCCAATACTACTTGGCAAAGATAATACATACTTCTCGTGATGAATTAAGAGTTGTATTCTAGCAAAATAACTGTCTAAAATCTTATTTATTTTTTTTTCACATCTATCTATCATGTATGCTTCTCACTCCTCAAATAACAATCAAAAAGTTTTGAAAAATTTCAGATACCTTTAGAATCTCAATATCACCCAAAATAAACCTAAAAAGATCCACTTAAAAACCAAAGCTAAATTCTATTGTTTTATTATCACTGGCTAAAATTTAATTTATGTTTTCTCATCAATCTATTAATTGTGCTTCTCACACCTCAAATAAGAAAAGTTTTGAAAAATTCCTAATACTTTGAGAATCTCAATCTCTTCCAAAATTAAATAAACCTAAATAGATGTACTCAAAAAACAATGCTATAGGTTTTGTTATTTTAATTTTTTACATATGTAGATTCAAATTAACGTTGTATATTTGTCACGTGATATTTGACACCATAAAATACGATATGAAATTATTTGGAACATTATTATCGCATTAACTATTACATGTTGGCGTCATTTGTCATGATATATTTATCACTACAATAAGTTTACGATTAAGTTTAGCTGTGCATATTTGTGTAGTATTATTTATAATAAAATCGTAGATTAAAGGATGTTGACAACAAATCAGTGCTGACGCTGATGATTTTTCATGATTAGAATTTCTTTCCGATACTACTATGTACGTGTGCATGTTTTCTTTTTATTTTTTTGGCTTTATCTTTTTTCGATCATATATGGTGTAGGTATTTAAGTTTTTTTCCCCGAGTAGGAGACGATCGTACGACGTAAGCAAGTTATGTTTTTTTCCGGGATAGAGATTAGCAGCACGGAAATTTTAAGAGCTCTAATCCAATGTTTAAAATAGTGGGTCCACTAATTTAAGTGAAAATTAAAGGTTGGATGGTTTTCTTTTTCTACTCTAAATTTTTAGGATTTCTCTAATTTTATTAGAGCATCACGTGACAATGTTGGAGTGTTTAATAGACTTTTAGTGTATAATAGATTTTTAGTGTTTCTCTAATTTATTTGAGAGAAAGTTTAATGTACTTTTTTTATATAATAGATAGATTTAGAAGATGGTTTAAAAGAACATTGATAGGATATTTATTATAGATCTTAATTTAACTAAATATATTTATATGTGTGAAGTAATATATTTTATCTTTATATAGTAGAAAATCATATTTTAAATACCGTTGATTTTTATGAATGTATGTTTTTTCTGTCATTTTTATGTACATGTATATGTTTTTTTTCCAGCGAAGATTAGGAAAGTTTTGTTTTCAATTATGTACAACGTTTGTACGTATGGAAAGAAAGCAGTGGCATTTGTAACGTATAAACTCAAACTCATACGTACATGAGGATATTATTTTTTAATAATAGATCTAATCTAATAGTGTAAAATAACAGGTCTATCAATTTAAGTGAAAATGAACGGTGAGATTAGATTGTACCATGTGGCGACTTAGGAGCGTTTGTAGGAGTGCCACGTGACGGCTTAAGAGCGTTTGTAGGAAGTTTAATGGACTTTTAGTATATAATAGATAGATATATTTTGGGTTTTTTTTTCCTTGCTCGGAGAGTGGGACAGCAACTCCTTGCACCAAATTACCAGCACACCTTATGATTAACAAAACTCTATTGTGGTATCAGATTTTATCGTGTCCACATCCAAATTACCAGCACCGCTTATAATTAACAAAACTGTCCAAATCATACTTTTTGGCTGTGTTTAGTGTCTGAAATGGGGAGAAATTTGGAGAAATTTGGTAGTTTAAAAAAAAAAGTTGAGAGTTAATGTTAGTAGAAAAGTTTTGGATGTGATATGATGTGATAAAAAGTTGAGAGTTTGGATAAAATTTAGTGTGAACTAAACAGGGTATGTTGGATATATATGCTCAATGGCGTGGAATCGTGGATCCGGAGCATTTGATAATGCGTCCAGAGTAGCATGGACACACAGCTAAGGCCGCACGTGGTCTGTCGCGCATGGAATGCCAAGACAAGAGTCGTCAAGTCGTCGCGTCGGGCCATGCAACGGCCCAATCGAAACGATATGCTCCCTCCGTAAAAAAAATAGTAGTCAAATTCATAGTACATACATCCATCCAGTGTATTAGATTGGTTTTTTATTGGATGGAGGGAGTATATATTTACAAATAAAAAGTATCTGTGAATAAATTTTTATATATGTGTTTTTAGCGTTTTAAAAGTAAAAACTGAAAAATAAATTTTGATGAGAAAAACCTTAAAATCAGTTTCAAAATTAAGGTGGAAAATTTAAATTTTAGCTGATAAACATGAAAAAAAGGTCACGTTCAAATAGTTTTGGGTGCAATTGGAAAAGATGCATGTGTACTGTTTGGCATGTCATAAACTTGTCGTATCCATATGCAAATGTAGCAGTAGGAAGCACACGGGAGCTTTCCCGGTCTCCAATAGTGCAATGTGCTGTTTTGGTTCAACTCAAGCCATCGGGTTGGCCTTTGCAAATACTGCATGCAATGTACGGCGTCGCTAAGTTTTCAGAGAACATTGGACCATTCTTAATTTCTTATTATTTAAAAATTTAATGTGTATATGTAAAATTATTTGCTAAGATTATATTTTATTTTATAAAAAACAAGTCAAAAAAAGAATAATATTTATACAAATTTTCTTAATAAGATAAATGATTAAATGTTATGTGAAAGTCAATGACGTCACATATTTTAAAACAAGGTAATATAGTGTTGCTAATTGGTACACTTTTATTTTGTTTTTTTTAAAACTAGCTAGTTGGTGCTTTTTTCTTGAAGGGGAGCTACTCGGTACTTTTGGTAGTACAGGCCATGTGGTTCGCAATATCATAACGATCTGCTATAGCTGTTGATGATTGGAGGGCCACTTCTTTTTTTTTTTCGACCGCGCGTGCTCAGTCGTACTAGAACCAAATCACACTCTATTTGTTACTCCATACTCCCTCCGTCCGTTGTACAATATAAATTATTATAACATTTTTTACATTTATATTGATGTAAGATTCATTAACATGTGAGAAATGATAAAATTTCTTACATTGTGAAACGGATAAGTTAGTAAGTAATTTCTTCCCTCCTAATTTAAGCTCTAGAATGATATGTTCATGAGTCATCATCTCATCTTATATGAGTCATGACCGCATGCCATATATGGCTGCCTCGATACTCGATCGCTAGCTCATCTGCCGCAGTGCAAGCCGTGGTGTTCATCCGTCGTCAGACCTGTTACCAGATCTGGACTTCCCTGAGATATTGATTACTACTCTTGTCGTCCGGGACCGATTGAGTTCATCAGACACCATGTTTCGTCCGGAAATTCTGCGGTTGAGCGTGGAAATGACGGGTTTGTCGAATTCCGCGGACTCTGCTCCGGCTTCACCCAACAGTACGTACGTTTCTCAGATTCACGTTGTTCGAGAAACTCATCCATATTTGGTTATAGTTAATTTTATTTTCCCCTCGAGATTTAGTTTCTTATTATTTCCATTTGTGATTAATTTAACTAGTAATTGTTTGATCCAGATGGAACTGAACCGCCGATGATGAGGACGAACGGCGGGGAGCAGATGGGTGGCAGTGAGGCGGCGCACATTCGCATCGACGAAATCATCCGACGTCTCGACGCCGCGGAGAAAGAAGCACAAGCACAAGTCGTGGAGGCAAGGCGCGAGATCTTCCGCGTCCCGGGGAGGCATCGGCTGGCCGACGAGGACGCTTACCAGCCGAGCTTGTTCTCGGTTGGGCCTTACCACCGCCACGGCACGGAGGAGATGGGCAGGAACGAGCTCACCAAGGTTCGGTTGATGAAGCTCCAACTCGGCGCCGACGCCGATCAGGCGGCGTCGCTGCAGAGAGAGTGCCTGCTGTCCATGGCGTCGCTGGAGCAGGAGGCGAGGCGCTGCTACGACGGCGATGTCGCCATGGATTCGGGGGAATTCTGCATGATGCTGCTGGTGGACGGGGCCTTCCTGATCGCGATGCTCACCGCGTTTGGCATCCAGGAACAGGATGACGCGCCTGCTAATAAAGAAGAAGAAGAGGATTCTGGACCGGGCACTGGCAGCAGGACGCAGAAGAGGGTGCTCGTCGACGGGTTTCTCGACTTGGTGCTGCTGGAGAATCAGATCCCGTTCTTCGTTGTGCACAGCATCTTCGGCTTGCTCGTCGATCATGCTGGTACAACTCTAGCCAAAACGGCCTGGAATGCGGTGAGGAACTTCATGCAACACATCCCAACGGCTTCCAACGCCGACGACGTCAAGGAGGACTGCAAGCATCTGGTCGACCTGTGCCACACCTACCTGAGGCCAGCCGGGTGGCAGCAGGCAGCGGCGGCGGGTGGTGGTCACATCCAGCGGTTCAGGACGGCGACGGAGTACAGTGAATCGGGCGTCCGGTTCAGGGTCAGGTCAGATTCAGAGCCTGCCCCTCGTTTCGGGCTCCTCGACGTGGACTTCTCGTGGGGCGTGGTGACCATGTCGCGCCACGTGATCGACGAGAAGATGAGCTGCGTGTTCCGCAACGTGCTGGCGTTCGAGCAGGACAGCGGCGCCGGCGTGGAGCGCGACGCGTACGTGACGGCGTACGTGGTGTTCATGTCGCAGCTGCTGGGGAGCGCTGGGGACGTGGCGGTGCTGTCCCGGTCGGGCGTCATGGAGCACTCGCTCGGGAACGACGGCGACGCGTGCGCCCTGTTCCGGGGGCTCGCGAGGGGCCTCGCCTTCGACACCGACGGCGATCACTACCTGCGAGGGGTGGGGCTGGAGCTCAACAGGCACCACGGACGCCGCCTCAACCGCTGGCTCGCGTGGGTGGCGCGCCGCCACTTCGACAACCCGTGGCTCATATTGGCCTGGCTCGCCGCCGCCGTCCTCCTCCTCTGCACGCTCGTGCAGACGGTGTTCGCGGTGATGTCCTACAGGCCAAGTGCAAAACTCAACTCCTAGCTAGTTAGCTATACTCTAACCGGCCCTGTCGGTCCGTCCTGTGATTCAATTTGCTGGGCAATTAATTACTGCTTGCGTTTTGTTATATATGTTCTTGTTGTCTCCAATTTCATAATTGATCTTAGCCTAACACGATCACCTTCTTGCTTATGTGGAATTTGATATAATACTGACTGTTTTGAGATGCCATGTAGCCGGATTTCACTTCTTCTTTCGCTTATAGATTTGCCATGGAGGGTGGAGTTTACCAATACGAACATCTTCCAACGCCTAATATCGATTGCCTCTCGCTTATGATTTTATAGTTGGCGATATGATAGAAAAATTAGCGTAACATCTAAATCAAGAAGCCTCTCGTTTTAATCTTATCGCACGACGCACCTCAAAGCCATTCGACCACGCACATACACAAAGCAAGAGCCGCTGAGGGAAAAAAAACTGCTACATCTACACATGCATGTCCTTTTTTATTCCTTCTTATTAAATTTTCTCATAAATTACTTATCCGATTTATGAGAAAATTTTCTCATATATATATATATATATATTACTTTCATATTTGAATAAATTACTTCTTATACATTCATAATGCTCTAAGTTGCTTACTTTTATTATTGTTTTTAGTCAATTTCATAATTTGTGCTAAGTAAGTTTAATTTCTTGATAAACTTATGTTTTTATCCATACAACGGATTTACTTCTAATGTTGTAACAACTTACTTCCATTTTGTGCAAAGTTACTTTTATGATTTATGTAAATTATTTTTTGACTTTATGTAACTTACTTTCATAAATGTATTTACTTGAAAATCTTCTGTACACATTGCTTGTGAATTTACTCGACATATTTTCTTGCTACAACTCACTTATATTATAATTACTTCTAATGTAATAGAGAGTTATTTCTATTGCATATCTGAGTTACTTCTACAATTTAAATAAATTACTTTTAAATTAATAAAATGTTTGAATATATTCCGCATGGATCTCGTTTTGTCACAAATTTTGAGTAGAATATATGATGTAAATAGATTTTAAAAAGTAATATGTGATTTAAAATATATAAGCCATTAAAAACCTGGTTGGTACAGCTCCAACTCTTAAATTTAGCTTCAGGAGTTAGGTCTGAAGTGGAGTTGTGGAGCTGCCTAAACCCAGCTCCACACAACTCCAGTTCATTTTGTGAGAGAGCTCCGCACAGCTCCGCTTCCATTTTGGGTGGAGCTGAAACTGTTTGGTTGAGAGCTGAAGCTGAGCCAAACAGATCCTAAATAGAGATTTATATGATCTGAATCTGTGCTGGTTCTTGGGTGTTCGTTCTCTTCCTCGTGATGATGTGATTTGTATGATTCGTGCGGTTGCAGTGTTCGTTCGTGGAGCACCGGAACTACAAGGTGGTGTACCGGCGGTACGCTTCCCTCTTCTTCCTCGTCGGCGTCGACAACGATGAGGTATTGATTCCTCCGCCTCGCAATTTTCTTTAGACGATGGCTGAATGTCAATTTTGTCAGACAAAAGGCACCCTCCCTCCCCTATGTTAAGAATTCTGATGATTTACCAAATTCAACTAAAAATATCCTCAAGATGTCCTTGCTACTAAAAATGAAATTTCCACTTAGTAGTTGAGGGTTTGGGGTTATTATCAGTTCTGAAGATATACGATTTAATGGTTTATATTAGAAACTAGGAATTTCACATGAGAAGTTTAATTTCCTCAAGAATCATGAAGTATCCTGCATAGCAAACAGAGGCTTAGATCTTGTTCATCTGTTTTCTTCCATCGATGAACGTACTCGGATTTGATAGTAATGTGTAAATGTATTATCGTTGTCTTTGATGGTACTATAAGATATTACTAATGATTTATCCTTAGATGGAACTATAAGGTACAAGGTATTACTTTTGATTTATCCTTAGAATGATTTATCCCAGCACGATCGGTTGTTGCCTGTTGTTTTCATCCATGTTTCCATCTTCTGCTGAATGTTACCTTCTTTCCACCACTTGAGCACTGTTGTCAACTCGTGCAGGCTCTATACGTCTACAATCTTTTCCCAATTCCACTCATTCCCAGTTAGGAATCCAAATCCTTTAAAATTCCTCCAAAACGAAAAGGCCCTAAGTTTGGGTAGCCTCAGCCCTTTTTACAACAGGGCCTTCGATCTATCTACAAAGTTTCGGTTGCCTCAGCCCTTTTTACAACAGGGCCTTTGATCTATCTGCACCTGTGAGAGTCACAGGCTTGACATGGCAAGGATATTTTTAAGGAAGCGAGTGAATGGTAGCGAAAATATATTCCATATCTTCGGCAATTAAGGAAAATAGTGGTGCTCAGTAACTGAACCGTACTCCTACCTGCTTTCCATATACTACAAATTAGCTAATAGAATAATTTCACTGGTGGCCATGTTGGGATACGCGTAGGCTACGATAGCATAACTCAAAATTTTATATCGTGTAAACCAGGAACCATGCAATTATTATATCATAGATCGTTACTACTCGACGCGCTGCGCAGCGGAAGAAGACGCTGAGAAGTCGAAGGAACTCTCGCGAAGTATCGCGCGTTGATGTAGAGGAAGTAGTCGATCACATCGGCTCGACCTTCTCCTCCTCGTGCGATCTCCTCGCCATACTCCCACGCCGATCAGCACCGCAAACCAGCGACGCCTCTACCGGTATCCACACGTACAAGGACGGAACGCCACGCACAGATGTGCTAGCACCCGTGCGCGGCTAGGGTCTTGCTCAGGGAGGGAAGTGACGGCTACGGTTTCTCACGTGATGCAATGCCTCCGCCGATCACACCCCTCACGAATATATAAGATCCATTACTCGGGCCTCCATGGCCCGTAGGACTCCTATTCGGATCCCTATCCGAATTAAGCTCATATTGGATCTCCATCCAATCCCCCTATTCCGGTCCATTAAGCGTGCGACCCTGTAGGTTCATGTATACTCGGCTGTAACCCGAAAACTCCTTTTTGGTCCACGCGTCAACAGCGGCCCCTAGCAGAATGTATTGACCCACCGGGCATACATAAAGATCATATCGGCTGAACCTCTAGTGTATAATTGTATGAACCCCTTTGCGCCACGATATCGATTAAGCTCAAGGTTAGATATGTGCCGTCCTCTAATAGCTCAATCATTCACTCGAACCTATTGATATATTATATAACTTGTGATTGACTCCTCAATCACCTTTGGTATGGCCATGCACTTCCATAATCTACAACATCGAGGGGCCCAGAGATATCTCTCCATAGGAGGGGCAAATCCCATCTTGATTATTTATATCCTACTACATGTTTCATAGCATACCCGAAAACTACTTTTATTACTACCCAATTACGGAGTAGCGTTTAGCAGTCCCTAAGTAAGCTACTACACATGTTGGGAACCATGAGAATCTCAGGTCTAAGGATTCAACACCAACACTAAATGAGATCACTGATGACACAACACATATGGCTCATGCAGTGTCTCATGTTGGGTCTATCCAACAATATGTTCACCAACATGTGTCCACATTATTAATTTGGTATCTCTATACCATGATCCATGAGACATGATCATCAATTAATACATGTGCTGATCATATAAACATATTTGTTCCACATATGATATTTGATCAGGGATCTTTTAGAAATAGTAACAAACAACATAAAGAGTCTCATGAAAGAATCACATATTTATTAACCAATAATGAGTTATCTATTTCAAGGAACAATGTCGGATAAATATGTAAATATAGTATGTGATACAATCATCTCTATGATTGCCTTTAGGGCATATGCCAGACGTAAGGCTCTGAAGACTCTAAGCTAGCAGCACACAAGAACAACCTCGACGTAAGATTAAACATGAGAAGATATCGATTGATTATGATGTAAAATCAAAGGTGTTTTTGATTATTATTCTGTGATGAACAATTGGCATTGGAGATTATTAGTTTTGATATTTGGAATTTATTTACGAAGTGGTTTTGGAGATGATTGGATTTACATGTGAATCACAGGTACTGTTATTTTATGTGACCGGTCAGACCGGGCATGTGCTGTCGGTCAGACCGGCGTGTATCACGCGGTCAGACCGGCGCAGCCCGCGGTCTGACCGGCCGACGCTGTGTCGGTTTTGGTTTCGGGTTGTTAGTTTGGATATCCGTGATTGTTTCATGATTATGGCTTCTAGATGGATACTATACGTATGTAATTCTATTGTTTGCTACTAATGAGTCAAGTTGGAGATAGCTTGGTCTCGGAATATGGTTTCTTTGTTTATTTCATGTGTAGGTGACTCGATGCCTCGGGTGAGTATTTGCGGTGATGGACCGGGAGTCGTCTTGGGGATAAGACGACGTCCGTGGTGGTCAGAGTTGATGCACGTGGTTGATGTAAATTCCATATGGCATACGATAGAGGTACTGTGTGCGTATGGGATGCGGAGTCGAATTTGGAAGGAGTCCAAATTTGGTATGATTGGTTATGTAATGTTTGTGTCTTGTACTAGAGGGTTTCCTAAAGTGTTTAGGACTTCTAGTATGAGTTTGGTTTGTGGCTTTAGGCTGCCTACCTCGGTATAAATAGAGGGGGAGCGTGAGGCTTCTCGATATCACTTTAGAGAGCAATTGAGTTGAGTTTTGAGTTAGGGTTTCGAGTTTAGTCAAAATTTTTATAAAGAGTGCTATTGGTGCACTTTGTAAACACAGAGAGAATCAATAAAGTCGTCATCTACTTTAAGAGTTCTTCGATTTGTGTTTCACCGGGTTTCGGCGGTCTAACCGACGACTCACCGGCGGTCAGACCAGCGGCAAGGCGGCGGTCAGACCGGTGGGAGCGAGGCGGTCGGACTGGCGGCGGCAACAGACGCGGCAGGCAATCTCGGCGGTTCGACCGGAGTTCGATCTCGGTCAGACCGACGTTCATTAGGCGGTCAGACCGGTGCAACACCTTCGGTCAGACCGTGATCCATCGATTTCGAGGGTAACTTTTATTTCTGCTAAAAGTTTTCGGTTTTTGGGTATAACAACCATTCACCCCCCTCTGGTTGGCTTAGTTATTATGATTCGATCCTACGTATGAAACCGTTTGTACATATAGCAGCGAGACTTCAATCTTATCTATCTCAGAATCTGGAAAGGATGACGA